TCACCAAGACATTAAAGAATAACAAACGCTGTGGGGCTGTGGCAAAAAGACACCCTTTCCCACTGCTGGTGGGAGTGCAGACTGGGGGAGGCACTGTGGAAATCAGTACGGACAGTCCACGGAAAACAAAATGCAGGTTTATTTGACCCAGCTATTCTCTTTCTTGGTATCTTCCTCAAAGAATTTACAGGCACAATCATGGTAACAATGGCACAGTTTGGAACAGCTCAATCTTGAAAACAACCCAAATGCCCATTAACCAATGAATGATAAAGAAGATGTGGGGTTTTTTAAAAATAAAATGCATACTGTTCTTCCATTAAGAAAGGTAAGTTGAGGCACTTCTAGCTAAATGGATACACCTTGAGACCACATTCTTAAGTGAAATAAACTGGACACATATGTTCAAATATTACATGGTTTTCTTAGTGTGGAAACCAAAAGTGTAAATAAAAACCAAAATGTGTAACAGATACTGGAAAAGGGGAAGAAGATGTTCAAATGAAAAGGCGAACAAGGGGTGGGGGGATAGAAGTGACAAGAAAACAATGGAAATAAAGTTTTGGTAAACAAGGGGACAGAGGCTTAAAGGGAGTTGGGTGGGACGGGAAGAAAGAAGCAAAATACATCATACCCAGGTACAAATCCCCATGAGGAATGTTATATGTATCTAAAATGTAACAATAAAGTAAAAATTAAAAGATAATAAAATCAGAATTATGTAAGATCATGTAGGTACGTGAATACTGAATAAAAGAATAATTGTAAGTCGATAAATTAAGACATAGAATTATTTATAATTTTCTAAGGTTTTAGTTTTACACAATCATTATCATCTATAAAATATTTAGAAATACATGCAAAATGCTGTGGTTACATGGCTGACTAAAAGCTAGTCAAGAAAAACACCTGCTCCTTTCATTTCCTACTTCAACAATCACACTTTAGGAAAAGTTATTTATGAAGCTTTTCCTAATCTTTCTAAGCTCATGTCATCATCCCACATCCCTCCAACTAATCAAGAACTGGAAGCAGACATTGTCTATTTACATGTATTCAATCAATGCGCAATTTAACTACCTGACCTTCCACAGCTCAGAGTCCTCATCTTGCTCAGCACAGTACTCAAGTTTAAAAACCTATCCTCATGTAAATCTAATCTCCTCTCATCATACATGATCTCACTATATCCTTCCAGAAATCAATCCATTAATCTGTCATTTTAATTCCAGTACTGGTAGTCTGTACCAAATTAACCACCTTAGGACCTTTTTTTTTTTTTCACCTTGGTTTTTGGTCCTATAGAATGAAGCTCACTTGTTCATACAAAATTAACAATAACTACCACCTCTACGGAGAAATAATGCCTTTGTTTTGATTGTAACATTGAGAAACCTAACTAATACCATTTTTACTTCTAGTTTTATAATTGTTTTTTCATTAGTAAATTTCAATGTGTACTGTTTCTAATTTTCACTGTGCAAAATTAATCAGAAATACAGCAAAAAAGGATGATATGATTTTTGCCTCTGAACAAAGCTACATATTTTATCTTTATATTTTTATCAAACTAAGAAAAATCTAAATCTAACATCAATATTAGAAATAATTACAAATGTTTCTTTGCTGATAGGAACTAAGTTCTTCACTTCTGACAAAGTCACAAATGCCATTCAAAAATTATTTCCCTAATCACTAGTAAGTAAAAGCATTACCTGATATTCTATAAACTTTTTCACCTATTAATTCCAAATATTACTGTGGAACTAAATTATTCTTTTTAAGAATGAACCTCATTTGTTTCACAGATTAAATTAACAAACAAAAATCAATACCTTTCCACATTATAATAGGTATAAACAAATCAGTCTCAATGTGTTCTTAAAGTTGATTTCTAGGTATGCCACCGCAATCACATCATATTCTAACCCAGAAGGCAGGCAGGCATGCATTCCATGAAAAATTAGGAAAACTGCATTCCTAAAATGAAGTAATCTAAACTACTAGCCATAAATGTACATGAGAGACATAAATTCAGTAACAGATCAACTTTCTTTTTAATATATATTAGTAAATATGCAATTAGCATAAGATTTTTAGAAAGATGTATAAACAGGGTGTAGGGGCACATACTTGTCAACCCAGCTACCTAGGAGGCTGAAGCAGAAGGAACTGGAGGAAAGTCTGCTAACTTAACAAGAACCCTCTCAAAATCAAAATTAAAAGGTCTGAGGATGTAGTTCAATGGCAGAGAGCATTTACCCAGCTAGCACAAGGCTCTAGGTTTAATCTCAAGCACTAGAAAGTAAGCATTTACAGGGAAAAAAATTTTTTTCAGAAGAAAAGAGAAACATTTTCAAGACTAATGTCAAATTTAGAACTCAAAAATATACAATTTAACCAAATCTAAAACACTAATATTAAATAGGTATAAAATATGCAGAATCTATAAACTAGGAACAAGAATGGTTAAAACGCATCACTGTTTGTGAATGGTTAACGTTTCCAAACCAATGATAAATTTAACAAATAAAAAGAAAAATCACTGTCAGCACAAATTCTGCTGAGGAACTGCAAACTAAGGCATTAATTAGAATGAAGGTAATATACTTTGTTCTAACTGTACATGGAATTAGTTGGAATGAACATAAGATACTCTATTTTAAACTGATGTTGGTAAAATTTTCGAAAAATAAAATAAACCCGGCTGGGGGCGTGGCTCAGTGGTAGAGCTCTAGCATTGCATTCACAAGCCCTGGGTTCAATCCCCAGCACCACAAAAAAAAAAAAAAACAAAATAAAATAAAATAAACCAACACTGAAACACAGTTCTATCTGAATAGATACTTTTTGAGAAAAAAAGTTTCATCAGAAAACTTTTCACTTTATTTTTTATTCTGACTATGCAAATTACAAAAATTTGAAAAAGTATAAAGAACCCATAATTCTATCACCAAAAGACAACTGTTAATATTTTATTTCTTCCTATTCTTCATGTCTTCTTAGAGATACAAACTACACCTTTTACATGTGGAAATTCACATTATTAAAAGTTCGGTTAAGTGTCCGAAAGCACAGCTTCTCCTTTCTAAATAAGATTGTCTAGAGTTATGTGAGGGAGTGCCAGCAGACTTCGAAGCAATCCACTGGACAGGTAAGACTGGGTTAAAAGGAATTCCTTAGGATCCTCTGAGCAAAAAAATATATTACTTTAAAAAATCAGTGAACTGAAATTCCACGTAATTTCTGTTTTCGGATAATGTTTACCTAACTAGCCCTTAATTTACAAACTTAGTAACTCAATATTAATGATAATTATGTATAACAACTATCTTTGCAAAATTCCTGTATATTATTATCATTTCATTTTCATTAAGCTATGAAACAACTATTCATTCTTGTTTGAACAATGTAGAAAAGTTTAAAAGGGATTAAATGATACATACCAAATCAATTTTTTAAAATCTAGTCATTTAATTACTATTATAACTTTCTTATTTTAGAAAGATGTGCTCCTCTGCATTGATGTTTATACATGGTAAAGCTATGAAAGACAAAAATATTTGTTTAAATTCTCTTTAAAATGTGATTATATTTTACATTTAAGTAGGCACCAGAAAATTTCAAAGCAAGGCAATAGTTTAACTTAAGGAGGGACACACTGCTTTCTTCACTGCAAAAATTTTTTAAAACATGATTATAAACATAGATGTAGAAATAAGCAAAACAAGGACTATGTTGTTTACTTAGTGATTCGCTTCTAAATCAAGGTATCTTTATGTCTCAGTTTTTCTCATGTTGGAAGTAGGATATCATTATCTACCTTACTGGCTATGGTGAGGATTACATGAGTTAATCTATATATGCCACTTAGTCCAGGGCTGGGCATAAAGTAAGATCTATTAGGTTTTAGCCTTACATAAACCTACTTCTCTTTACTCCCTGCATAGGCTCTCAAACTTCAACACAGAGGGTTTCACGCTCTTTTGACATGTTAGGTGTTGATAAAACCTGCATACCAAGCATCTAACTTTTAAGTTACACTGTAGGAATGAGCTACAACATCTGTAGAGTTGAGTTCACCAAAATACATTTTTTCCCTGAGAGATTACATTTCCACATGGCTGTTAAAGTTTCAGCATCTTCTCTATGACAGTCTCATGGCCCTGATTCCACACTTTACTGAAAACCATATGACTGCAACATTAAGCTGAACTTAAACGTGGAGATCAGTAATAAAAAAATCTTCCCAGCAACAAGTAACAAACTTTCCCACTGCAATAAAATAGAAACGCAAAGGAAAAATATGTTCAATAACTGATGCCAAACTGATTCAAAATTGTGGTACAATGCCTAAAAACTACAAAACAAGAAAAAATTTAGACTTACATTCGCTTTCTACCCTGATGATTATTCAAGAAATAGTTTTGCTCATTTCTGCACTAAGTTTTTCAAGAACTGTAAATTTAAAAAGTCGTATAACTTTCTAGAAAGTCTTACCCTTTTAGTGTGCATTTGGTCAACATTGCACATTACCCTAGGTCACACACTGCTTGAGTAAGGCAATTTATATACAACCTTCCTCAATAGTAAGCAGGGATTGTAAAGAACACGATCCAAATCCAAGGTTCTGAAATCAACACAACTTGCTCTATTTGCTGAAGAACCCGAGCACTTTCACAAAAGACTATTTGTCGAACAAATTTAAGGTATTATTTAATATCCTTGCCTTCCTATTATATAGATATACCTGTGGCTTAACATAAGCAGGTCACACCCCCAAAAGTTCTCTGGGCTGCCTTTGTGGAGGCTTCCATTGCTAGGTGTCAGGTATCCTCTTCCCAGACAAATGACTGATGTGGCCAAAACCCAAAACCGTGCCAACCTGGGGGTCAGCAGGGCGAGACCACCTTTGCAACCCCACCCGCGAGCGTCCCCCAGGTTTGCCCACGCACGATCTGCCCCACACCTCCCCGGCGCCCTGCCCGGGGACCACTCACCTTGCTGGGCTCCGGTGTCCTCTAGCAGCAGAAGCAGGATAAGTAAGAGCAGGAGGAACAGAGGCATGGAGGAGGAGGCCAAGGAGGAAGAGGAGGGCGCGGAGGAGGAGGGGTTGGGGCCGCGAGAGAGGAGGCGGGAGAGGGGGAGCGCCGCCCTGACGGGGGCGGCGGGCCGGACTCGGGGACACTGCGGGCAGCGCCCGGCTCTCAGCACCACCCGGCCTGCCATCGCGGCGGCCAGCAGTCCGCCTGCATAGTGCGGGCGGCCGGAGCCCCGCGCGCCCCGGGCCGAGGCACCCGGCGGGGGAGAGAGAGCGCGAGGCAGCGCGCCTCGCCCGCGCCGGGACCACTCCGCCCTTCACCCCGCTTTCACCGCCTCCTCCTTCGCCCCTTCCCTCCACCCCCCGCCCCGAGAACCCAGGCGGGAGCGCAGGGTAAGGAGAGAAGGAAGCCGGTGTCCGGGCCGCAGAGCCGGGGAACACGCCTTCCACGCCGTGCTCCCGGGTCGAACCCCAGCTCGCCGCGCTCGCCCGCGGCTCTGACTAGCTGGCAGGCAAGCCAGCCGCCCGTCCCTCGCCCGCCGGCCACGCCTCCTCGGCCAGTTTTGACCAATCCACCCCCCACTTAGGGCGGTCTCCTTCTGCATCACCCAATCAGCAGGCTCTCTCCTCGGTCGACCCGTTAGCTCGCCGGCCCACTCCTTGAGTTTCAACGCCCCTAATCTGCCTCCTCCAATCGCCTTCCGTCTTCGGCAGCGTGCCACCCGCCTTCCCCAATCCGAGTCCCGCCCTCAAATTTCGGCCCCCAGTGGTCCCCGCCCTGCTCCAGCGCCTGTTATTGTTGGGGCAGCAGCCGGGAGAGATCCTGCGGAGGCGACCGCTGGTTTTGGTCAAAGACTTCCGGGACTTCCCGCTTCCTGTTCTTTCCCTGATCTTCGGGGCCGGCTAACGCGTTCATTGCTCCTCCCTGCCACACATCAGGCGACTGGAAGGGGTGGGAAACCTGGATCCTGGTAGATTATAGGTGGGAGCTGAGGAAAAAAAGTGGTGGGTTTTTGTTTGTTTTTTTTAAATTAAAACTACAGCCAGTTGTGTTTAATCTTAACATATACATTCCCCGTTTCCTAAGCCCTTTATTATAAAAGGGATGACCAAAAAAGGTGTAAAAAATGAAGATTCATAAGGCTAAAATAATTCAAATTTAACATTTGAACACTTACCCAGAAATCCAGTTGTTGAACACCTGCTATTTGCAAACATTGTCCCAGGAGTTGCAGACATCAGTCAGAAACGTTTCAGGATCCAGAGTGATAGCAGCAGGCAAATTAGAATGAACAGAATTAGAAATTTGATAGAGATTGTGAACTGGCAGAATGATGAAAAACATACAATCACTAAGGAAAAATCCACAGGATTAGCCCTTGACTGATTTTTAGAGAAAAGACAGGTGCCAACAGTGGTCCCCAAAGACGATGGTATCATTAACAGAGAAAGTTAGAAAGGTAGCACCGTTTACATGGGGAAGATATGTTGATTTGGGTTATATAGATGGTTCTGACTTAACAGTGGTTCAAGTCATGACTTTTTTTTTTTTTTTTGTCTTTTTCCTTTTTATCGGTACCAGGGATCGAACTCATGACTGCCTGCTTGCAAGGCAGGTGCTTATGCTGCTGAGCTAAATCCCCAAATGGTGCTAAAGTGACATACATTCAGTAGAAACTATATTTGAAATTTTGAATTTCAATTTTTTCCTGGGTTAGTGATATTCCTTTACCCTTTCTTGATACTTGATGGGGTAACAAGCCCATCCAGTAACAGTTTCCAGTCTGCCACACATTCACAGGGTAAACATTTGATACTCTTCAGTGTACTATGTGACTCAGCTGGAGTGTTTGGTAACTAAATATTATTACCAACTTACAATATTTTTTATTTACAGTAGGCTTATTAGATGCAACTGTATCATAAATTGAGCATACATATTGAAAGTAAGATGCCAACTCAGTTAATAAGGGAAGCTATGTAACAGATGGACTTTTTTGTTGTTGTTTTTTTTTTTTTTTTTTTTTTTTTTTGGTACCAGGAATCAAACTCAACCTTGCACTTGCCAGGCAGGCGCTTACTCTGCTGAGCTAAATCCCCAGCCCTGGACATTTTAATTAAAAAAAAAAAAAAAAAAAAAAAAAAAAAGTGAAGTTGAAAACCACATTGAAATTAAGGATCAAGGAGTAGTGAATAAATAACAATATTAATGGGAAAGATTGACAGCCTCAAGTGTAAAGGAATTTGGGAGTCATCTTTTTCAATCCGCTTTAAACTTCTCACACAGTAAACTTTTCTACCACATTCATTCAGTAAGCATCTATTGGGTAATTAAGATAGGGATGTTATCTATGGACTAAAATACTCCAGCTCTTCCACATACTTATAGCCACTATTGTTGACATTGATCTGTTTCCCTTGTTCCATTCAGGAATTCAGAAATATGTTTCTAAATTACCTGAATTTTTGCTAGAAGAAACAAGGAGGGCACATACCTAGATTTAGAAGTGTCAGGAGGAGAGCCATTTGTTCCATAAAAGGGGAAACCGTAGCACTCCTCTGACAGAGTGAGATTTCCTGGTGTCCATGAAGACAGTTAAGAAACACAGCAGGAAGGTAAAGTGGAGTGGCTTTAGGGTTCAGAGAGGTGTTAGGAAATATCCCTTAAGCAAGTGACTCACTAAGCTGGAGATAAAAATCAAGGGAAAAAAACTCAAATGAGACTTCTATCCTATTGAGCACAATAAGGGGCAGTCTGGGGGAGGTAGGAGACCATGTTACTGATAGCTATTGCCCCCCCCCAAAGAATAAGAGAACTAAATAAAGTATGAGGAAGAACAAAAGCATGGGTTAAAAGAGACATACTAAATTTTATTGCACACATACACACACATGAAAATTGTGTGAAAGTTGCATTTTCTTAGTAGCACATACCTTGGTTTAGTGATGGTCAACGTCTTAGAGCTTTCAGTGATAACAACCAGCTGCAACACACATGCCACAACTGACTTAGTGGTTCTTACCTATCTGACTTGAGCCTGCAATGAGTAGCAGCAACAACAAAAAAAATAAAGAGAAAGGAAAGAGAGAGAGAGAGAAGAAAGAAAGAAAGGAAGGAAGGAAGAGAGAGAAAAGAAAGAAGGAATGAACGAACAGGAAAGAGAAGAAACAAAAAGAAAAAATAAATTTCCCCAAGGCAGCCTTATCTTCTGGCTGGTTCAACAAGAATGTTATCAGATAGTAGATCTCACCGGAATTCTCAGGTTCTTGGTATCCTGAACAAGCCCTGCAGAACTTACTGAAGGTGGGAAAGAGGTGCTCTCTGCAGTGAGAGTGGGCCAGTGAATAGATGCACAACAGCCCTGAAGATAGGGGAAAGGGATCTTCTGACTCTAGAGTTCCTGCCTGGCCTCTGCCTCTTATAAATAAGACATTAGGATAGCTGTCCTATCAAAAACTCATTTGGCCTGGAACGAGATGTAAGCTGTTCTACTGATTTAAGCTGTCCTATTGAAAGATTCACTTGGCTTGACACCAGATATAAATGAAAATTGAACATAACCCTTTCCTGATTGCTTCCAGGTACAGTCTCAGAAGCTGCAGTCACCTGGAATCCTGTGTTCTGTGCAGATGCTTTCACCTCCATGACTTTGACAGATTCTGCCCAGGTGTTTGGCTGGTTTTGCCACAGTCCCAATTCTCTCACCTCAGAACCAGCAGTTGTACTTCTGGATACAATATGGATACATTCAAAGAAAGCCGGATCATAACATCATAACAGCCAGATGCCCCCTACAGCAAGCCCGGGCTGGCTCCCTCCTACAGATAGCTTAAAAAAGAAAGAGGGCAAATCAACAGAACAAACTCAAGCTGAGCAAGGTGCCATTGTACATGTTCACCGATATGGGCCAAGACTTGTAGCAATCACTGTTCACTCCATATACTGGTTGGTAGATGAATTATTTAATGATTAGGCTGTAGGCTCTAGGAAAGACTAGGGCTTCAAAAAAGGACCACATGGGATACTTAAATGTAAAATACCAAACATTAAAACATGTATCATTTTAATGTATTTATTTCATATTAACACATGTAAAATAAAAATACATCCTCAACCTAAACTCTAATTCTCCAGAATGTCCTCCCTGTTTGTCTTTTTCTTTCTTTATTCTTCTTTTCGTAGATAAAGAGTGAAGGAATATAAGAAAAGAATGAAATTAACCTTTAGTGGGGCTGGGGATTTAGCTCAGCGGCATAAGCGCCTGCCTTGCAAGCAGGCAGTCATGAGTTCGATCCCTGGTACCGATAAAAACGAAAAAGACAAAAAAAAAAAAAAAAAAGAAATTAACCTTTAGAGGAAGGAGGAAATGTGCTGTCAAATGAATCCCAGCTAAGCAAATTGCTAAAGAAATGAGAATGCAGAAAAACCACAGGGGGCTGGTGCCTTTGCTCCTGTCCATGCAGACACATCTGGATTTTAATGAGACGGGATGGTAAGAATCATTTGGCACCATCATTACCATTAAATGTCTGTTAAGCATTAATAAAACAAAAGAGGCTCATTTAAAATGGCACTTATACTGAAAACCTTTGGTTGGTGGTATGTAATGAATCACTAGTGAGCTTTATCACTAAGCGTGTATTTTTGGCAGGATAACAGACAGAGGGAATGAGGAGAATTTACTTTTGTGATCTTTCAGTGGGAGGAGAGACTAAAGACTGGAAGTTCTAAATAAATATTTTAAACTTCAAAGACCAGAACACTAAAGTCTGACTACTGTTCTCATAAGAGCATTTACTCTGTCCTGTTGACTCCACAAATGTTTATAGCCATGTTTGTTGCTGAATGTCTGAATTCTGCTAAAGATACTTTTATTTCCGTCTGTGAAGAGGAATGCTTTGGATACATTTTATCTTGTAAGTATCCTTCAGTTAGTCATTGCAGTTAAAACTTAACTCTTAGATTTCTTACTCATACCTTTTAACACTTGTAAACTTTTTGACCATATCCCTCATATCAGATTTAAGGCATAAATACTAGAAATCCAACTTATTATGAACATATTTAATTTCTACTAGTAGTATTTGTTTTCTACTTTTCTCTTGTAAGATTAACATTTGTGTACGTCAATGACTCTTTCAATAATAAATCTATTTGTATCTTCATCTCCTACACCCATCTCCCTGTCATGTTTTCTCTTGGTTTCCCTCCCGCAGTCTCTCTCACATCCTTGAATTTGTCTAGGAACAAGAGAAATTTAACCAATTGAATTTTTTGTGAATCAGAAGATGACTGCAATCTAACATTTTTTGTCTCTGACGGAGGCTTCAAAAGATTTTAATAAACGTATGTAAAAACTGCGTCCTGTAATATCTACATCTTGCCTAGAAATTAGAAAATTAATGATACATTAGTTATGGTTAAAATAGAACTAAAATATGAGTAATGAACATACCAGGGTATCTGGA